CCTACATAGGAAGGGGTAATGAATCTTGAATTAAACTAACCTATAATGGGTGGTGATGAAACAAGACTTATACTAATTTGTCGCACATCTATAGAATGTATATAATAAATAAATTATAACAATTTTACTATTGGCTACCAGACGCATAGCTAAGCATATTTCCAACGTCAAAGGTACCGCCATATTATAACCCAGACTAACAGACGGTTAGATAAGCATATTTCAAACATCAAAGAGATCACTGTACAGTAAAATCGTATGAATCTTATCATCGGGTGTCAGACGCTTAGCTAAGCATATTTCAAACATTAAAGGTATCATTACATTACATCGCTCATAAGCGTCTGTAATTTTTTTTATGAGAACAATGGCAACGTTTGTCGTTATGGAATTTTATCATGGGTAACCAGACGCTTAGCTAAGCATATTTCCAACGTCAAAGGTACCGCCATATCATAATCCGCATTACCGTCTACATTTTATAAGAACAAAGACAATGTCTGTCGTTATGGCATAATAAATTCTAAGAAATTTATCATGAGTAACCAGACGCTTAGCTAAGCATATTTTAAACATCAAAGATTTCGCCGTACAGTAATAATCACTGTTGTATGCATTTATTTTTTACATAGTATTTTATTGTTGGTAACCAGACGCTTACGTCAGCATATTTCAAACGTCAAATGTATTACTATATTATAACTCACATTACCGTCTACATTTTATGAGAACAATGGCAATGTCTGTCGTTTTGACATAATAAATTCTAAGAAATTTATCATGGGTAACCAGACGCTTAGCTAAGCATATTTCCAACATCAAAGGTACCGCTGTATTAATTAACGTTCATAGACATCTGCATTTTTATTTTTTACATAGTATTTTATCATTGCCTACCATCAGATGCTTAGAAAAACATCTCGTTAATATTAGTATATTACTATTAATTATATAATTAATATAATTACTATAATTGGTAATATATTTTTAGAATTACTATGTTTAGGTTGCTATAATAGTATAATCGCTATTATTATTATTTTCTACTGCGCCTTTAAAATAATAATATGTGTATCGCATTTTATTTTATTATATTTAATTTGACAATTTTTTTATACCTAAAACTAGAGGTATTACATTTAAAGTCGCTCCCCCACCACCAGCAACCACGAGTCATCACTGCGTTTATCATTTAATGTATACATTACATTGAAATAGTGTACGTCAATTATCGGCCGCACACTTGTCCTTGACTATTACAGAAGTTATAATTAATTGAATTATACATAATAATTATAACGTCGTTATCGGTGGTTACAATCAAGTAATTGTCACCGTCGAGAACGTCCTACATACAATCGTTGGTAATAACACTTCGGTGATAACAGCTGAGTGGGTAAACCGAATTGGGCGTGAGGTGCGCACAATGTGTGAAACCCAATGAATACTAACCTAAGTCGTTGGGGGTAGGGGATCTCCTCAACGTCCTAATGAGCGAAGGGGTAATGAAACTTAACTTGAAAACAACTGCCATATTATAATCCCACATTACCGTCAACATTTTACGAAAAATAATTGCTTTTTCTAAGAATTTTTATCATTGCCTACCAGACGCATAGCTAAGCATGTTTCAAACATCAAAGGTACCGCCATATCATAATCCACATTACCGTCTACATTTTATAAAAACAAAGACAACGTCTGTCGTTATGGCATAATAAATTCTAAGAAATTTATCATGGGTAACCAGACGCTTAGGTAAGCATATTTAAAATATCAAAGATTTCGCCGTACAGTAATAATCACTGTTGTATGCATTTATTTTTTACATAGTATTTTATCGTTGGTAACCAGACGCTTACGTCAGCATATTCCAGAGATCAAATGTATTACTATATTATAACGTTCATTGGCGTCAGCATTTTATGAGAACAATGACAACGTCTGTCGTTATGGCATAATAAATTCTAAGAATGTTATCATCGACTACCAGACGCTTAGGTCAGCATATTTCAAACATCAAAGAGGTCGCCGCATAAAAATGTCGTATGAATCTTATCATCGGATGCCAGACGCTTAGGTCAGCATAATTCCAAAGATGATACAATATATTAATGTTCACTGCCGTATGCATTTTATGAGAAAAATGGCAACGTTGTCTTTTTTCACGCCTACGCATTTTGTTATTTTACTATATAACCGGTTAAACGCTCTGTATCTTGTCACATTCGTGTTCAATTAACGTTAACGCATAGTTGATTATTTGAAAACTATAAATTTATTATTTTAACGCGCAAATAAAAAATCATGAACCAGCAAACGTCTTCAACAGGTATGTACAATTATTAACATTTCTCTTTAATTTTATCATCCCTACTATTTTTATTTATCTTTTTCCAATAAATAAATAAATAATTTATTTTTGATTAAAGCTACTTCCGTGACATCTGTTTCGCCACATCAGACGGCGAAGCGTAGTAGGGCCAACAACAGCGCGGTTAGGTCGAAAAGATTACGTATGCAATTGACGGATACCCGTGATTTCACCGAGATCGATTCCGCATTGGAGCGGGGGGCCGTTTGGTTTTATCGGAAGAACGTGGAGAATTTCGCGAGCTATCGAGATTTTCTGCGCGCCGTTAAACCCGAGCTGGTTGCCAGACTCGCTGAAATTGTAGGTAACCGGCCGATCAAATATAATCTCAAATTGGAGGCCTCATACCATATACCTCGATCAGAAGCACCGTCCGAAGACCGTGCCTTCAAGACACGAGCTAGGGCATTGCTATCCGATACGGATATCGGGTGTGCGGTCGATGAAGATTTTGAGGTTATGCTTGCCGAGGAAGACGCGTACTCGGGTAGGGGTAGCGGATTCACTCTAACGCATATCGACGGCCTTATGCTCAGCGTATACAAGTATACACCCCTCGCCGGCTCATCATATATTCCTGTCCCGCCAGAGATTAACCAAAGAAAAGCAATCATCAACCCACAAAACATCGATCAGTCTTGTTTCAAGTGGTCCATTTTGGCGAGGCACGTTGGAGGAAGTAATAAATATCGCGTTAATGAAAAATATTTTAACGAGGAACACAGGTATGATTTCACGGGGTTGACGTTCCCCACACCTGTGTCCCAAATTAAAATATTTGAACGACGAAACCCTAACGTGTCTGTCAACGTGTACGGCTTGGAACGAGACGACGATAAGATGAAGTGGTTGGTGTATCCTCTAAGAGTCGCCGACCAAGAGCAACAGAATCATTTTGACCTGTTGTACATTGGTGACTCTAANCAGAATCATTTTGACCTGTTGTACATCGGTGACTCTGAAAAGTCACATTACGCGTACATTTCTGATTTTTCGAGGCTCGTGCGCAGCCAAAAAACTCAACATCATGGCCGCATATACACTTGCAAACGTTGCTTCACCAGTTTTGATGATATGCNAAAACTCAACATCATGGCCGCATATACACTTGTAAACGTTGCTTCACCAGTTTTGATGATATGCCTAAAAAGCATATTCTTCGAGGTCAACAAGCGTTGGAGCAACACAAGTTGATATGTGGCTANGTTGGAGCAACACAAGTTGATATGCGGCAAGAACAAGCCTATTTTACCCGTTATGCCGGCGGAGGGCAGTAAGGTTGAATTTGACGCGTGGGTAAAGACGCAACGGTTACCGTTCGTCATCTACGCTGATTTTGAGGCCTTACTGGAGAAAACAGACGATCGTATGGGTGCATACACCAGGACTGTGCACTCTCACCATCCCATGAGCTATGGGTTCATGGTGAAAACATCGGACGATGTGCCCTCCGAGCTCATCGAACGCTACGGTATACCACAATCACCGGTGATATACCGTGGGTCCGAGGATCGCGAAGAGGTCGCCAAGGCATTTGTGATGGCTGTAACTGAAGTGACGCGCAACATTTCTAAATTGTTGCGCAAAACCAACGTTCCCATCCGAATGTCTGTCGAAGATGTGCGCAGGCACGGGGAGAAAGTGGTATGCGACTTGTGCCGCACGGCATTCAAGGATTCCAACCCCAAAGTCGCAGACCACTGTCATTTATCGGGCCGATTCAGACAGACGTTGTGCAATGCATGTAACCTGAAAGTAAAGACGGTCAACTTTGTGCCGTGCTTCTTGCACAATCTTTCAGGTTACAACGCGCATTTCATAGTCACTGAATTGGGGTACGACGACCAAAGGATTTCGGTCATACCGAATTCCGAGGAGCAGTATATTTCGGTTACAAAACACGTGACCAATAACTTCTCCATACGGTTTGTCGACACCTTCCGGTTCATGGCCTCCTCCCTGTCCACCTTGGCCGGTAACCTAATGACGCCTGACTTTGTTAAATTCCGGGAGACGGCCAAGGTGTTCCGCCCGGAAGACATGCCGTTGGTGACGCGTAAGGGCGTATACCCCTACGAGTACACTGATAGTTGGGCTAAATTGGAAGAAACGGAACTACCACCTCAGGACGCTTTCTATAGTCAGTTGAGTGAGTCTAATATTGATGACGACGACTATAGACATGCCACGGAGGTGTGGAACCGTTTCGACTGCTCAACCCTCGGTGAGTACAGCGACCTATATCTTAAGATCGACGTGTTGTTGTTGGCTGATGTGTTTGAGAACTTCCGCGACATCTGTATTTCAACATACAATTTGGACCCGGCGCACTATTACACCGCGCCTGGTTTTAGCTTCGATTGTATGTTGAAATACACCAGGATGAAGCTGGAGCTCTTGAACGACTACGACATGCTACTGATGGTGGAACAGGGCATTCGTGGTGGGCTAGTGCAAGCCGTCAAGCACTATGCAAAGGCTAACAATTCTAAGACACCCGATTACGATCCGTCAAAACCGGAATCATGGATCGTGTACCAAGACTGTAAGTAATCTATACGTGCATATATAAACGCGCAATATTTGAGCGGTGGTTTAGTAACGTTTAATGTTTACAGGCAATAACCTTTACGGGTGGGCTATGAGTCAGCCCATACCGTACGGTGACTTCCGGTGGTATAAAGGAACAGACCCTCTGGCTGACCTCCAATCGTTGTCGGACACTGGTAATACGGGGCGTATATATGAAGTGGACGTATCGTATCCACAAGAGCTGCATGACGAGCACAACGACTTGCCGTTCTTGCCTGTCAACGATGTACCGCCGGGTTCCAAAGAGACCAAACTCATGGCCACTTTGAAACCCAAACAGCGGTACGTCGTACATTACGTTAATCTTAAACAGGCGATCGCACACGGACTGCAAGTCGATAAAGTATGTATAGTTAACCTATAAACTATAAGCGATGATACTAATATAAATATTTGTACTGCAGGTGCACCGCGTTTTAGAGTTTCAACAAAGTGCTTGGTTGAAACCATACATTGAGTTGAACACTGAAATGCGGAAAAAGGCGGCAAATGCTTTTGAAATTGCATTTTTCAAACTAATGAACAATGCCGTCTTTGGTAAGTGCATGCTCAATGCTAAAGTGGGTTATTCGATAATTTTTTACATTTTATAGGGAAAACAATGGAGAACATGCGGAAACGCATCCGTATTGAGCTAATCTCCAGTCCCGAACGTCTAAGCAAGCTCGTAAACCAACCAACCTTCAACGACTGTATCAAATACGGTGAAAGGTTGTGCGCCGTCATAATGGACACAAAGATGGTCAAGTTTATCAAACCAATATACGTCGGTTTAGCAGTGCTTGACATTAGCAAGACGCTAATGTACAAGTACTTCTACGACGTATTGAAACCACATTATGGCAGTGCAATCGAATTGGTTTACATGGATACTGGTGAGTACAACCGTACAGTAGAAATATTTTTTATATTTATATATTTTTAATTTTTCTCAGACTCCTTCATATACCTGCTCAGAGTAGGCGACTTCTACCAGGATTTAGCTGGTAGCCCCGATTTACTGGTGCACGTGGACGCATCTAGCCTGCCCAAGGATCACCCTTGCTACTCCACCGATAGAAAGAAGATGCCCGGCTTGTTTTCAGACGAGACCAGTGGCCTCACTCTCTTTGAGATCGCTGCACTTCGATCAAAGTGCTACGCATTTGACATGGAAGGCAGCGAACTCATAAAGTCTAAGGGGATCCGCGGACACGTCGTCCGGAACCATCTGTCTTTGGACGACTACAAACGGTGTTTGTTTAAAGACGATGGTGACGATGCGTCAAAACGAGCATTGGCTGGAGAGAATGCCCGTGCGGTCATCAGAGTGATACGTGGTGGTGACTCTCCACTGACATTATCGTTACCCTACACTCCGTACCGACAGAACGTGTCAATCCGTTCGTTTGAGCACGAGGTACGGACTTTACGTACAACCAAGTTGGCGCTTAACCGTTTTGATGATAAGCGCTACACGCTCAACAACAGAATCGACACGTTGGCCCACGGGCATTATGCTATACCACCACCGGAAGACCTATAGTTCTTATCATTGTAAAAAAAAAAAATCGTCAATAATTGAAAATTTTTTTTTTGTAAATATACATGTATATAAGTAGTTTTAAAACATTTTTTTAATGTAACATAATGTAGTAAGAAATTGTATTTTTTCTAAAAAATATATGTATATGCGTGTACATATTTGTAAATATATATATATATACTACATCGTTTTTTTTCTCTTCTGTACAGTACAATAGTTGTACGTGTAAGATGCCCTAGTATTTAAACTATAGTTACGTAATGAGGTGTCACATTTTGATGGTAAGGTATTATCCACCAAAACTCTAAGAATACCCTACTGTATTTTACATGTATCATACAGCTAGGTTTTTGAGCATGTTTTAACCTTTCTGAAGAATTAAAAAGAAGAAAAAAGAGTTTTTTTCATATGATAGAAATAAAATCTTAGATAATAATCATTATTTTAAATATTATTATTTAAACGTATTTATAGTCATTGTATCCATTATAATTTTAATTACAAGTTACGTTAAAAACGCGATTTTCACAATGTCTCAGTATATAATAATAACAGCACATGTTAATGCAACATACGTTTATTTTAAACAATTTTTTTTTTTTTTTTTAATTATATACATGTTTTAGATACTTGTCGACAGATAGCTATTACTAACAACTACTGTTGGTATTTCTTGGTTATTTGTATTTGATGGTATGATTGTTTCCGACTGTATATCATCGGCCAGCGACCCAAAAAATGTCGAGCATACGTTTTCTCCGTTAGAAGACTGAAAAAAATAAAATATATTTATTAAATATGTTCTATTCAGTTAGAAAAAAAAAAAAAAATGTAATTCACCATTTCTTTAGTATATTCTTCCAGCATCGTCCACCGTTGTTCCAACTGCTGGCTCGCAAATTGTTTTATTTGGCTTATGTAGCTCAGATCGCTATTGGGTAAACTATTTCTAATCGTATAATCCGAAACCGCATTGATCAACATACATTTGTTTTCCACATTTACTTCATACTGAGATTTCATATATTGAGCCATCTGTTCCAACTGTTGTAGAACCAATGGTTGAATTACAGTCATCTTTTGATTGATAGTCTCAAAGATACAACATTCCAAAGCGCTGAGTTTTAAAATGTCTGATTGGGTGAGTAACACTCGGCATTCATCTTGTGCTTGTGATTCAAAGACTAGCGAAGACTCTCCTTGAAACGTAGTCTTTGAGAGTGTGACGTATTCATCCTTGAGTAAAATAATCTTTTGTCTTGATACAGGGTCGAAAATTAGCGACAGAATATTACCCATCAACGTATAAATCCGTTGTAGGAAATCTATCGTTATAAGTATGTAACGGGTTGACGATAGTAAACGAATAGTTACGTTAAATCGATCTTTTGGATCCAATCCTATCTGAACGAATTTACGAGGATTGAAATTCAAAACGTAATCAGTGCAATCGATTAATTCACTGTGAGGTTGGGGTTTAGCAAATGTTTGTTTGTTATAGAATTTGGCAATTGTAGCGAGAGAACCAGCCATTCTTAAAGTATACAAATATCGACTTAACACATTACCAACAAGTTAAAGTAACGTCTGTTTATATAGAAAATCTTATAACGATTAGAGCGCTATGCTTACACCACGGTGAAGTTATTAACTAATTTAAACCCAATAGTAATTAATAGTCTAATTTTCGCCGTTAGATATGATACAAACAGTTGTAAACATAAGCAGACGGGGTTCAAACAGGATGAACAGGGATTTCAACGCGTTCAGACAGGTTTTAACATGTTCAGACTTGTTTAATCGAGATTATAAGAATCCAGGATACACTGTTCGGTAACCCAACACAGTGTCCCTACTACTTTTATAAACAGCCTACTACATACCATACATAGTACAACCTGCTACAAATACCATAGCGTATAGTAAATTTGCTATTTAATGTGTAAAACTCTTCTTTGCACTGCTTAGTACTACAGACTTTTATTTAATATTCATTATACACAAAGGCATAAAGTTTAAATAAATATGACAAAATTGTATAAAATAAAAAAAAGTATATTTTATTGAATTTTAAATCTTACAAGTTTAT